GCCCTGAGGAAGACCACGACAGGATGTCGAAAACGTCGGCCAACACAGCCTTCGACGCCGGCGTCACCCGGGCAGCCCAGATCACCCAAATCTCAGCGTTACAGCAAGGAGGAAAACTCGGTCCTCTATGTGCCGGGAATGTCGTGCCGAAATGCCCAAAACTCACTCCAACCCTGTGACACCAAATCCGACACAATAGCATTCTTACATTCACGTTCAAGGAAAAAGTTGAAGATATAAAAAGTGGTTTCAGATATCAGCCGCGCAGACATTTAGTATTCGTTCCTTGTTTCGTCTCACACTGGTTTACTATTTCATTGTGAATAATGCTGTCACAGGAACATACGTTATTGAAATTCAGAAGAGTAGTGCAGTGAGTTAGGGTAATGCTCTCCAATTTTCATAAATAAACACTAAGGAATGAAAAATGATCTCCATTTTCAACAGAAATGACGTATGCATTTTTTCGTCGAACAACAGAGGTTTTCATTAAAAACGTCAGTTCATAGTTAAAAATCAGTTCATAGAGTCACGGTCTCCCCAAGCGTTTGTATTTGCTCTTTGTGAGAGATTTATATTTGATTTATTTACTTTTCCTTACGTTTTTTACCTTCACTCCCATATAATGTCACTGTATTTATATACGTTTAATCAGACGTTTAATTTCAACTTTAATTACATTTTTTATATGTATATTCGTATTATATATATGGAGAATTTATTTCTTTTGGGGGTATTTTATTCCTGGTATTATATACAAAGGTTTCCATGCTCCCAGTTTTATGGAACATATTCATTTATAAAAATTATATTTTACAAGATTTGACTACATATCTAACAAGTATACGCAGATTTCAAGTCCGATTGTCTAATTCTCTAATTAAATGGCTGCAACTCGTTGATTGTTAGTGCTTCAGGGCACGAAAACTACTAGGTACTTAGGCCCGAAAGTATAGTGCATGTTTTCGCTCAGAATGTGGCGATAGTCTTTCCCCTGCTGCATGGCGAGATCCAGCGCCGACGTACTTACGGCTTGCGGGGATTTCCCCAACCAGGTATCTCCCACCTGCGTGGAACCCCCCCAGCCGGGACGAGCTCTACTGTCCCGACCGATCACCCGCTATGTGTGGTAATGTAATGTGTGTTAGTGTAAATGTGTAAGGGATGAGGATAGGTCAAAGAAGAGGAAGATAAGATCGCGCGCGGCCCGTGGCCTGTTTATTAGAGCACTGCCCCGGCATTCGCCTGATATCGATCGAAGGAACCACGGAAAACTACCGATCAGAGCAGCCGGCCGCTAGAATTCTCCTCCAGACAGCGTCTGAATTCGACCTAGCTGACAAGGTAGTGTCGAAAATACTACCATCGTCGGGAATGGAACCTAGGATCTTCTCGACAGAGGCATCAGTGACATCATGCAGTTACATCAGTTGATGCCCTGAGCCATCTTTCTAGGTCTGCAGCTCTTGATAGTCATAATACAGTTTCATTATTGTACTGAAGTTTGACCAACCACAGATATATTTTCAAATTAAGCATTGACAGGTAATTATTCATTAGCATCATTTTATTACATATTGCATTTCATTGAGTTTACCTAGGGACACGGTGACGATAAGACGATCCGTCAGAGCAAAATGCTAAAACGTTGAACGGGAGTGAATCAGACATAGAATAAATACCTCTAAATTACGATAAAATACAGGAATTTTTAATAGATGCAACTCCAAAGTTGTCATTAGTTCTAGAAAAACTGTAATAAGAAACTCCTTGTATCGGGTATTTATACACTCGTATGATATTTACGACATTTGCTCGCTCCTCACTTAGTAATATAACTCCATTTTCATGTATTAATACCCATCGTTACATCATCGACTTAATATACAACAACTTAATAGTGATTAACTCCGCAACTTAATAGTGAATGACTTCTGTTTCAGGTAGCATACGGCAATCAAAATGGCGTGGATTCATTGGAACACACCCATTCCCATGCCATCAGAGCTGATGCCCGTCTTCGGCGAAGCTCCGCGAGCTGTCACAGTGGATGACAAAATCTACTTTTTCAAATACGTGATGGGCACTCAAGAGCTCGACGTCGTCATTATGGACACTCGAGACTTCTCGTGCACCCAAGTTCTAGCCACCGGGGACAGGATCCACCCAGAAGAAGGGTTGGAGGATCCAATTCCATTTGCAGCTGTAGCTATCCAGCACATGGTATACATATGCGGTGGGGATGGAGTGAATCCCCCGTTTGGGAAAAATGTTTGGTGCTTCAACACCCAAACTTTGCAATGGAGTCATGTGCCCTGCACTGGACAACACCCGGTCTGCGCTAAATGGAAAGCCCTATGTTCAGTCAATGACAAAATATACATGTGCCCACATTACATCAACTATTACGTTTATGACTTGGATATGAGCATGTACTCGCTGGATGTGAAAACAATGGCTTGGAAACGGGAATTCACAAACATATGGCCCTCGGGGTACCAACCAGACACGTTGGTGGCTGTCGGCACGAAAGTGTACATCATGCTTCAAAACTTTCTCACCTACCAGCACTTTTATCTGGTGTGTTTTGACACCGTCACTGATACTTGGGAGCGCCTTCAACGTGGAGGAACCATCCCACGTACGGGCTACATCAAGTCTGCATTCTTTCACAGCGGACACATTTACATGACGGTGTGCTCTCCGGATTTCGCTTTTCCGGCACAAAAGCCGATGAGGAAGTACGATATCCAGAACAGGAAGTGGGATAAGGCTAATCTTCAGGGACGCGAGGTCCTGATGTTCTGCATGACGATTCTGGTCGGCAGCAAAATTTTCTTCTTTGATTTTTATAGATACAAGGTGATGTATGTTTATGATTTTCTACCCAGCCTACGTTCCTTGTCCATGTTGGTGATTAAGCAACATAATTTGAATACAAAAGATTTGCCCAGGGTGTTGCAAAATGATATAAATAATTTATATAACATGTAAGTTTGCAGTTAACAGATTTCTTTGCCTTGCCTGGCAAGATGTAAAACTGCCTTTACCTACCCTGGCGAGATGTAAAAATTAAGTAAATTACATAAATATTCCGCATATCTAATGCTTAAAATTTTCCTTAGTGAGATATATTAGTGATTTATTATTTGTGGGAAATAAATTATGTACATGTTTGTTTTAAATAATGGCATAAAATATATTTAATATCATTGATGGAGTTTCTTTATATTTTTATCAAAGTTCCTATTCCTTTAATAAAAAGTATGAAACAATTTGTAGACTAATTTTTTTAGTAATTTACTTTCTATCTTACTCGATAGCCAAATCATTTAAAAATGTCGACTTCGTTATTCAATAATATTAATAGTAGTTATACATTTTTATAGATGTAATTATTATTTGTCACGCATCATTGCAAATACTGTGTTTGAGGAGCGTAAGTAGCTGCTGGAAGAGCATGAGGTAAAGCCGAAAATATAGTCCCGACTAAAATGGTTGGGAAAGTAATTAGTACAACGGAGTTACTCTATAAGGGACCATTTTGACAGGTCGGGAAACAAATGAACGTCATACAGGGCGATGACATTGCAAGAGAAAGTGATGAGGCCATTTACAAATGAGCTAACAGTAAACTAAAGCACTGACAAAAAGAGGGCCTGCAGTTATATTTTCAGCAGGAGCCAAGCAATAGCTGTTAAAGCGGTCCCTTCTTTTAGTAATCTCTTTTAACGAGAAAATCTGAGCCATTCTGTTGCATCAGTAGTAACTTTCTCTCATACGTCGTACAAATAAATAGAAGGTACCCCAATAGACTCTCATCTCTATCCCCTCTTTTCGCTTAAGTTGTTATGAAAAATTTCAAATCTTATTGTCTAAGCCAACTACAGTGTCATTTCTTTCTATAAATGCTATCTCGATGACATATTATGCCACCATCCAATAAAATAGAAGTCATTACAAATATGTTTGTGCTCTCATACCTTTTTTAGTTAAAATTTACTCATGTGAAAGAAAACAATGTTATGTCTTGGAATCATAAACTAAGGTGGTAAATCGAATGTTAATTGGTTTAAAAAGTACCACTTCTAACAGAATAACCATTTTTCTCAGCACACCCTATTCAACAGCTCACGGGTAAAGTTTTTTAATCAGGTTGATTGAGCTAACCTAATAAAAGAAGAAACATTCTTAAACGAACTAATATTTAAGATATTTTCCATACCCTGTTATCGAATAGTTATTCCAATGAATTTGTATTCACAAAGTGAATGATTTTTCAAAACCAATTTCACGAAGTGATTAAACACATAAAAATATCCAATTATTGCGTTTATTAACCGACCGATAATGATAATTTCTCTAGTTGACATTTGACACTTTTATCTACAGTAGTTGCAAATGTGATTTAAAGAATTTGAATATCAAAATCAATTTTAATAAGCCACCCAAACTACGCGTATAAGATACATCAATAAAGAAAAAAGCAACTTATAACAAATCACATGTAGTTTATAACATTAATTCTTGTGAACTTTCTTGAGGTGCTTGGTTGTTGCAGCTATGAAGAGGAAGTTGGAGAAACGAATTTATGAGAATCATTATAGCTGAAAACCCCAATTAAATAGCTATTATTTGGCATTGTCTCGTACCTGGTCCCAATATGAATTGGGCAAATACAATTATTCTAGACAGTTGAAAGGAATTATTATAATACTTCTTTCAGAAATGATTCACATCCATCATAAGAAAAATATCAACTCGAAACTAGACACTACGAAGGTCCACTATACTCATAAAACTCCTGTATAATTACTAGTAGTAGTCTGCCCCTTTTCATGAGTCGTTCATTTGAAGCTGAATCGCTAACAATCGATTGTCCAACTTCGATTCAGGAACGAATCTACTGATTTTGTGATGTATAGATGTTGTTTGACACTTAGACATATAGTACTCTATGTTTATGGTTTGACCTCTTCTTCACAACATTCATACAGTAACCTAGTGTAGTGTGTGTTCCTCCTGACATGCTGAAAGGATTTGGATATGTATGAGGTGTGCTTATTTGGTAAGTACTTGGACAATTAATGTTAATTTTATGTAGTACGGTATCTGTTGTACAGAAACAGTTATGTGGCAGAATAGGTTATACATGGCTTTTCACATTATGCGTCGATTTAAGTGTTCAATGGTAATGTATTGAAAAATAGTGTTCATGAATTAAGTTTTTGGACATTTTGAAGCTATATGTTTGTATAGTATTAGAGATTTAGAATAATAAGAATGATTTTTTAAAGGATGAGTCAGAAGTTGTTTTGTCAGCAGAACAGGAGTAAGCACAAACTCATAAAAGAAACTTACGATGAAACGAGTCTATGCGAGTCAAATATTATTAGAGAAATAAACACATTTGAAATCACATTACATAAACACATTCTTTTTTGTAACTACATACCGATCTCTGGGTGGTTCATAGTAGATGTATTACAAATAAACACACGTTACCATCTAATAAATACGAAACGATGAACATTTCTTGCCTGAACCGCACAAACGTTTAAAACGGACTGTCTCGTAATAATGAATGAGCTGTGAACGTAATTATCCCATTCCAGGAGTGCCATTTCAAAACTACAAACTTGCTTATTTCCTCAGACCTCATTTGCTTCCTAGAGTAAAATGAACTAGCAAAGCTGTTCCCAACATTTTGAATGTGCGGTCGCCTCTTGTGTTATCTTGTGTCTTAGATCCATTAGTGGTCAATATTCAAAAGTTTTAAAATCTCAATGAGATTTTTAACATTGTCACCGCGTGAGATTTAATATTTGGATTAAAACTTCGATTTTCCAACTTGGAATCGGGAAGGAATTTACGTTTTTTGTGGTGTATAGATGATGATTGACTCTTTCTTCACAACATACAAATAGCGGCCTAGTGAGTATATCTACAGGCATACCTAAATCAATATCTACGAGGCTTGCTAATTTTGTAATAATATTAATTTTATCTTAGACCTTAGCACACGAACGCTATCAGGGAGAAGGAAGACAATTGATTATTCTCAAAATTTCGTTTCCCTTACGCTATTAAGAGACCAAAAAGCTAAAGAAAGTGTGAAAATTGTAACGTTTATTACTTTTTCTATACGGAGTATAGAGAAAGTTATGTAATGCTGCGGAAAATCGATTTCGAGATTTCAACAGAAATACACTTTTGGGATTCCATGATACCGAAAAAATGTTGTTTTAAACGTCTGCCCGCATGGAACCCTCATTGATGACGTATTGGAAGAATTTTACTGTTTGATCTCTGGGTGTAATATTGCGTCGTAATGAATGCGAGTGTCTGTGAGAATTCGAGCCCCCCATTTTTTGTAAAAATATTTTTGCTTTTATTGTGGTTATCGTCGCTCTTGCTGCATATACTGAGCGTATGCGTAGTATACTGCAGGTTATCGTCGCTCTTGCTGCGTATACTGAGACCGGCCAATCTTGTGTGCAATTTAAAAAAAAAATACAAAAACAAAATATTCTCAAATTTTTCCTTTAAACTTTTGGTAGGGATAGTGCTAAATGTTCTCTAAAAGATGGCATAAAAGCGTTCTTGATCTATTGTATTTTCAAAAATTTTAATTTTTGACTTGTCCCTCATGACGTTAATATTTATATTAGCGGCAATTTGTTCACATTGCTTTATTTATGGGTACATGTGATTTGAATAATGTCATTTAATGTTTCTCGAAAACTGAAGATTTCTGTGAAAACTAACTCAAAACTCCGCATTTTCAGGAACGCTCAAACCCCGTTTTCACAAAAACAGCTACAAATTTTTTCTTGAAAATTTCGAACGGGTAGTGGTTATTGCACTCTTTAATATGACATAAAGTTAATGTTGGTGTATTTTTTCAAAAAGATCTCTCACACCTTTGGTATGCACATTTCCAGCTATTTGTAAACACTACTGTATTTGTGAGTTACAGTATTTGAAATGACTTAAAATGAAGTTTTTCGAAAATTCAAAAATTTTCTATGAAAAAAAGCTTCAAATTTGGAATTTTTAGTAGCGCTTAAACGCCAGTTTTTTTTAAACGGCTCCAAATTTTTCAAAGAAAATTGCCATTTAGGTCTTGATTTTACTGTTCTTTAATAATCTTAAAATAATATTCCTGCTCTACAATTAGGCAACCGAAAATTAGGAAAATGTCAAAAAAACGTACTTTGGGCGGCGATGGATGGCAGCAGGCAAAAATATGTGGCAAACCGAGACCAAAGTAAATATAAAACTAACACGGGAAAGTCTGTGCCATTCTGTAGCACCACTTGTTTGGCTCTTCTTTAGCTCACCGCGGGGGGAGCAGACGGTCGCAAGACCTGAGACCCTCCAGGCGGAGCCGTCCACCCGCCACCTGTGTCTCTCGGCGGTACGCACGTCGTTAGCTTCAATGTAAAGGCAGTGAGGAAGTGGTTCGCCACCGACCTTTCGTCAGGATTGGAGAAGGGACTTGCCCCCGATCCCACACATAAAAGTCCGACTGTGAGCATGAACCCCCTTCCGAGGCTGCGTAGGTTCCGGCGGTACTCACGTCAATAGCTTCAAGATGGAGGCAGTGAGTAGGCGATGTTTAGCTCAGTGTTGCCGGACTTGCCCGGTGACCCGCGAGTTGAGCCTCTAGCGCGTCAATCTTCGTGCGGGTTTGGGCGAAGGACTTTCCTCAAAATGCTCTGAATTCCACAAATGAAAGTCCAGATGGGGAGAATGACACCCATCACGTTCCGGCTCTTTTTAATTCCCCCCCCCTTACGATTTAGTTCAGTTTTGATTCACTCTAGAAGTTTGATGACTTGTTTCTAAACTGAAATTACACGTACAGCTAACACTGCGGTTGAGGATACCTTATGGTCACCACTAATTAGGCGTTCCATTTCAGAAATTATTTATTTATTTAATAGGTAATTATTACGGACAAATTAGCTTACTTGATCCTATGTGGCTAGGCCGAAGGCCATTAAGCATCACAATACCTACATCGTTTCGCGTTCTAATCTTTCGAATTTGGTATTACCCCAAATGGTCTCTCCATCGCATCAAAGCCGCGGAAAAGAGACCATAAGGTATGGCTCAAGAAAAAACCCTGAAGGGGGAAAAACCTGCCGTCAGAAGCCGAGTACATTCCTAATCTATCCGACGTTTATTTTAGCTATTTTATTTTCTGCGCGCGGCGTCCCGCCGTCTCCTTCCAGTGCATGCCTCCTCAGCACCTGAAATCAAAACAGCGCCACAGAAGATCGTCCGCACCAACGCCTCTGCCCTTATATTTTCGATCCCCCCCTTACCTCCCCCCCCCCATGGAAGTCCGCAGCCTTCGGGAGCCCCCCGGCCGACCCGGGACAATAGGGTGCAGCGAATGTGAAAAAGGCGCAAGCCCAAGACAAGTAGTGGCCGCAAGGCACTCAATGATGAATACATTTCATTTCAGAAAATTGCTTTAGGAATATGTGGAAAGTGTACTATTTTTCCATTCGTGTGGAATAGATGAGGTTTCTGGCTAGGTTACATCCGGTGAAATTTGGTATCTGCTTTAGGTTGGAGTAGAATTGGATGGATAAGTATATGATGTGCTGGGTTGGATATTGAATTGAATTTACGGAGCTGGGCATCAGATCGTGCGTTGATAATTGTGCTTAGGAATTGATTGTGGATAACTTTAATTTTATTTAGAATTTTTCACAAGAGGGAAGTTTCAATGAAAACCATACCCAGCATCCTATTTTAAACAATAAAGTCTGATAAGTTAGAATAAGGAAGTAAATAATGTTGCCTCCAATACTGAATTCCATAGGGAAGTTATGGAAGAATATAATTAAAAACCATATTCAGGATATTTGTAATTACTCTTTATTTTTTAATATACATGTAAAACCAACAAGTCAATGTACGAGAAATAGGTAGAAGGGAGACACTAACAATTACAATAAGAAATCTGTATATATACGATCATGTCCTCGTAGTTTTAACACACAATATTTTCAGAAAAGTGCCTATGCTTCACAAATAAACATTTTATGTAAATTGTGCCACTTTTGTATAACGCATAGAGCTCGGGAGGTCTGGCATTTATTTTACCTAAAAAAGGTAGGTAAAAATACATTTATTTTTACTAAAATAGGCACATTTTTAGGCTTCGGCCATTATTCTGGATAAAGTAGGAAGCAAAAAAGGCATGTAAAAAACAAAAAATCGCATTTAACAGGAATTCTTGTAAAAAAATTAAAATGATTCACATTTTTATTTGAACTCTAAAATGTTCATTAGCGCTTACGTGTAAGGAAACGATATACAACGCCGAAAATTCAAATCAAAGAAACGATATTTTCTTTGTATCTTGTTTCCACATGGGTACCTGGTATGATGACTAAGAATGTTTTACTTGCGACACTCTCTCTTCGAAATGCTGATTTACCATGACTCTTTTGAATCTTGAAACGGCATCAGTGAAACTGGGATTATATTTTTCGTTCTTCGTACCTGTGTAATGGACAGCTCTGAGAAGAAGATCTCGTTTATAGGCTGGTCTGCCCCCAAAAGGCTTCGGAGGCTACACCTGAGAATAGTATCTTCCTCGTGAGCGAACAAAGCCTGTTGGCATCCACGAAAACAATTAAAAAATCTTTGACTGGTTCCTTTCAATTTTTGATTTACATTTTAACATTACTTGGCACCCGAGCCTCTGCTTCCACAGAAAGGCAAAACAAGACCGTTCCTTCGTGTTGTCCAGGCTTGCAGGAATGTATGAAAAAAATCAAAATAATTACGACGAAGGAAGGAAAGTGCAAAATACCAAAAATGGGCAGCAGAGACCTAAAATAGACAATAAAAGCAAAATGAAAAACTAAAAATCTCGAGAACAATTAACCGATTCCTATTGATGTCCAGTTATAAAATCTTGACGATAAAAAGCATTTTGCCAAACTTGCGGGCTCTAGTAATGACTGAATGTAAGATATCTTCCCCGCTATGACCTCATGAAATCATGACCACTCTCCCGTTAAAAATTTTCATAATGCCCCATACAACAATTGTAATAATGTTGGGTATATATTGTATCACGTGTTGCAATTGTAGCTTAGTGTAATAAAGTAGTGTCTTCGAAATCTCAGCTTAAATATAAAATGAGATGTTGATGAATATCTTCTTCTCACATAATCTTAAGAAAACACGTGCCGGATAAATCCTAATAGTACGCAGAGTAAAAAGGATGCATTAATTACAAGCCAAGGTTTGCACTCTTACATCAAAGTAGTATCAGTAGTATCCGCACACGTAAATTTAATGTGAATGTACAACACACACACACACACACATTACCGTTAAATCAGAAATTAAAATTTTAATGAAGCCACAATTCGCGCATATTGTATATGCCATTTGGAATGCGGCTTTTCCACTTTCATGTTAACAGACGACTAGCGCCTGCCTCGACAAGAAGCTGAACTATCGACCCGTTCGGCGTAGCCACATGAAGAGCCGTGCTTCCGTTCTTGCTCTTTGCAGTCGACTTCGACCTCTGAATCCAAACAGAATTATTTAAACTGTTCGCGTATATTGACGTGAAACTCTTCAAATTCCAGTTCAATGAATTCGGGAAATTTTGTACTATCCCTTCTCCCCCACATACAAATCAGAAATTAAAACACAGGCTTAAAGAAGCAACAATTTGCGATTTGCCCTTGTTTCGGCCATTTCGAATGCGATTTTTCCACTTTCATCTGTTTTTTCAGTTCGCACCGAGGAGCCGTGCCGTGCACATCGGGCGCCATTGCTCTCTCACTGTGTAGTGTGTTTAGATTGAGTGTTAAACTAGTTTCTTTTGCACAACAATCCAAGTGTCTAATAAAAAGAGCACACATTTTTACATCAAAAAAGTTTATTTTCGCAGCTAGTATTTCAAATATATATATGACTAGTAAGTGCAAAACAACCCGTGACCGCGAGTGGCGAAAATGAACGAACAAGGTAGCCCCGAGACTACATAGCACATCAGAAGTGTTTGTGAACGCTATCGAAACCTTGTATGCGAATACCTTGATCAGTACAATCTCCCAGCAGCGCAAATACAATTTTTGCAGCAGCAACATTTGCAACTTCTTCATCAACAACAACAGCAGCAACTCCTGCTACTTTATCAGCATGAACCTACAGCGAAACAAGGGCAACCGTTTGTGCGACAGCAACCGCCACAAGCAACCCTGCCTCAGGAACACCAAAATGAGATGCATGCAACAACATTAAACGAAAGGCTTACAAATGTAAGTGAACGAAAAAGAAGTAATGATGAAAACACTATGCCATTATATAATGTTTCGCGCGCTACGCGTTTCACAACCAACGACACCTATCGCAAGACCTTTCACTAACAGAAATCCGATTCCAAGGAATATTCTAAATATAATTAAAAGTAAACGTAACCTTCGACGGCTGTGCCAAACCAATCGCAGACATGACCTTAAAGCAAAAATCAACAAATTAGGGAGAACAATAAAAACCAAACTAAATCAAGTTCGAATTAACAACTTTCAAAGTTCCATCCACCCTAATAGCAGACCACTCTGGTCAACCATAAAAAATACTATGTAAAGAAACTACTGACATCCCTATCCTTAAACAGAACTCAAATGTAGGAAGACGGATCATATGAAATCCAATGTGTTAGGTAAATATATGCAGAACTGTTTTACTCCAAACCCAAATACGAATTCCTATTGTACTAATTATATTGCTAGAAACCTCCAGTTACCAAACTATAATGCCTCAGATACAATAAAATGTATACCCCTATCCGTAACTTATAAAATGATTAAGCAATAGAAAACCCGAAAATCAGCAGGTAACGATCATATTTACGACATAGCTCTTAAAATTACCCAAAAAGAACAGCTATTTTCACAACCTTATTTAATTCCTGTCTAAGACTGTGCTACTTTCCAAAAGATTGGAAATTTTCTATAATTTTACCCTTTTATAAACCAGGCAAAGATCTTCGCCTTCCTACAAGCTACAGATTAGTAAGTCTCCTACCCTCAATCGCAAAGGTATTTGAAAAATTAATTCAGAGCAGCTTATCTTCATACCTAACTAAAATTACCGCTATCCCGGAATTTCCAGTTCGGATTCAGATTACAACATAGCAGAACCCACCAGCTGCGCCGATTAACAGAATACATTGCAAATTCATTTCACAGCAAGAAATAAACAATTGCAGTTTTCCTAGACATTGAGAAAGCCTTTGAAACTCTGGCATGAAGGTCTTTTGTACAAACTGCATCAACTAGGAACTCCCAAGTATCTACTCCATCTAATCTGTTTTCTAAAAAATAGATATTTTTCTGTACGTATTAACTCCAGCCTCTCAAACCGATTTGAAATTAATGCAGGAGTCCCTCAAGGTTCTTGGCTTTCTCCACTTCTCTTTCCTCTTTACATGTCGGATTTACCACAGTCAAGACTACTCAGAAACTGCCCTTTACGTAGATGACACAGCACTTTTCACCTCTCATTCTGATATCAACTGCGGCTCCGACAACATAGTTTGCCATAAACTGGGAAAATAAAGATAAACGCCAAAATTTTCCCACTCCACAAACTTACTCAACTCCGCTGCTTTCAAAACACACACACTAGAATGGATGAATAGAAATACACCATAAAAGTACTTAAGAGTACTACATACACTGAACTAAACTGGAACCAAAATATCAAATCTATAGCAGATAAATTTTATGCAGAAATATCTTATCTATTTCCAATAATAATTACTAATTTCTCATTTAGCACTGGCTGCGGCTTAATCGTCTATAAAACAATAATACGACCAACACTCACATATGCCTGCCCGATCAGGAATAATGCCGTACGAACGAACCGAAATAAAATAGAAATAATACAAAATAAATTTCTCAGAAAAGTCATTAAAGCCCTTTGGTTCATAAGCAACATGCAAATCCAAAACGAACAAAATATATCATCCTTTTAACGACTACATAAATCTTATGACTCATAAATTCTTCTCATCCCTTCCCCAACCGTGCAGTACAACAATATTCCAACTAGGTAAAACTTATAGTTCATCAAAGATAATTATATCGCGATTCCCTAAAGACTCCCTTCGTCCACCTTAAATAATTTACCAATCTTCCCCTTCCCTAACATTCCACCCACTAACATCCCCCCTTAAAAATACATCACAAATAACTCCAAAACTGTCATCCACAGTTTCTCCACTGGTAAAATAAAGTAATGTGTCATTAGACCACTGAGAAAGGAGGTAATGCATGCGGATGTCCATCCCTAAAAGTTACTGTGTAAAATTTTGTATAATGAACATCCCTAAAATGCAGAAATGCCGAGCAGGCAGAAATAGTTTAAAAAAATCTGGTATCTCACGTCTGGCGCCAGGCGCGTAGAAAAGTTGAACTATCGACTCTTACCCGTTCAGAGTAGCCATATGAAGAGCAATGCTTTCATTCTTGCTCTTGTATAGACTACACCCCCGAAATAAAAAAATAATAAAAAAGGCATTTAACGGTGTGCTTGTGTTGACGAGTACTCTTTTAAGTTTCAGATTTAAAAAATCGGGAATTCTGTACAGTCACTGTTCTTATAGAAGCAAAACAGAAATAAAAGTAAATTTTAAAGAAGCAACAATTCGCGAATTGCAACTGTTTCCGTCATTTTAAACGCGGTTTTCCCCCTTTCATCTTTTATTTAACGACTAGCGCCTGGCGCAACGAGAGGTTGAACTATCTACTATTACCTGATCAGTGCGACCGTATGAATGAGAACCGTGCTTCCGCTCCCAAAATAATGCATTTAACTCTTTGCATGAGTGGTCGATAACTCTTTGTAATTTCAGTTTAATGAATTCACGATAATTTGTACCGTCACTGTTCCTATACAGTTGAGTGAATAATCCGAGGTACCATCAGTCCCAATTACCTCGGATTATATGGAAAAAAAGGAAAATATGTAAAGAAATTTTCAACTTCAAAGTAAAACGAAGTCAAATTTATGCGTAGATAGTTTTAAAATTACAGGTACATACATTAGCGCGAATCTGTCACAACCACGTAGTAGGCACGCTGACACTGACCGGCGCACACGTGACCTACGAAGCATTGTTGCCAACCTGCCAAGAGCCAGTTCTAGATCATCACCGCTTATTTGGGTGACGGCTCACATCAGGCGTTTTTTTCATCTCGGAATACCGTTAATCGGTATTATCGGCTCGGATTATTATCGGACCGCCACTCTACTACACTTGCAAGTCAGAAATGAAAAGATAATTTTAAAGAAGCAACAATTCGCGAATTGCAACTGTTTGCGCCATTTCGAAAGCGGTTTTCCCACTTTCATCCGTTATCTCGCGACTAGCGCCAGCCGCGACGAGAAGCTGAACTATCGTCTCGTGCCCGTTCAGCGCAGCCATATGAAGAGCCGTGCTCCCGTTCTTGCTCTTGCTATCGACTTCGACCCCGAAATCCAGCAGAAAGGCCACGCACTGGGCGTGGCCGGCGAAACTCGAAACGTGGAGTGGCGTGTAGGCTCCGGAGTTGTCCGAGTTGCTCGCGTCTGCCCCGTTTGTGAGCAACAGGGCGACGATGTCTGCGTGGCCGTTCCAAGCAGCTAAGTGCAGCGCTGTTTTGCCCGAGTCGTCCCGGCTGTTAATGTCTGTCCCGGTCTCCAGGGCTGCCAACACATCTTCCACTTTGCCGCCTTTCGCTGCGCGGAGAAGTAGGACGGCAGCTCGGTCGACTTCGGAAGTCGTATCTGTGGCATTTTAATGAAAAGCATTTATATAAATTGCATTGAATAGTCATAAATATGAGAACATAATATTAGTTTAAAGCCGTATTTTCAGATAAAAAGTATCATTTGTATCACATACACATTAAAACCACCAAAAATTGACGATTAAAATGACAGTCTAAAATTGAATCAAAACACGTCTCGATCCATTGTCTGGCGTCTTCAGGGGCAGGAATTCTTTTCTCATATCTTGGGCGGGAGTAGAAAGAATAGACAACTAAATCAAACTCAGTGAAGTCCTTTCCCCTTGTAACACACAAGAGAAATGCAAATTGGAGAGTTTCGAAAAGAAAACTAGGTAAAAAATCAAGGTTGATTACCTTCAGTTAAATAAAGATGTGAAACTTTCTCCTTGACATCAAGCGATTTCTTGCACCACCCTTATCTACCTAATACAATATTAAGGTTTGGTATTCATTATCTTAGCATAGCAACTCAGGCTAAGTATTTTCCCAACATATTTTTCTGGCTTCTGGTGTTGGTGACCAATCCATCTTCGTACGCCGGACCTGAGACCGACCGACCGAACTGTTGGAAGGGCAACCATAGATGGTGCAGAGAATCCTCTGCTCTCAAGGGTGTTTCATATCTTTCCACCTTGTGATAATTACCAGTGTTTTCTACTAAACAATTTCCTTTTCAAAACTCCTCCCATTTTTCTCTTAAATATTACGGGGCGAGATTGTCACCTGTTGTTTGATTTTGTTGTGTGTACCTCCGGCTCGCGTTCATATATATATATATATATAATAACCTAACACAAGCTAACGACACAGTTAATAAAGTGAAGTCTAAACTTGAATTAAAACACAACGCTTCGACCCAGCTTTAGCGGCCCCCCACAATAT